GCTCTGTTCTCGCAGCAAAAGAAAGAATATTGTTGAACTAGACAGGTTCTGACACATATAAAATGTTGGATAAACAGGCTTCACCGAAATCTAATAATGCAAGATAAATCGGAAGGGTAGGTATACAATGAAAATTACAGAAGGCAGACAACACATATCGCAAATCACTTGAGCTTGAAACAAAAAGCTCACACACGTACAGAAAAAATAAGCACAAACACAGCGCGTACAAGAAAAACGTTGCGAAAGTACCCCCTCCCCCCCCCCCTTCCTTTTTTTAAATTGTTTTCTAACCTAGCTTTACTTCACAAGCATCTATTTATTCTTTCCATGACCTGAAGGTGGTAAATCGAGAAGAGGAAAGGAAAGAACTCACAGAAGAAACGACTGCCCCCGTTTGTATTTCAAACCCCGTCGACGTTTTACTGTTCCCAAGTTAATGAAAAGGGGGGAGGGGAAAAAACGTGTTTAACAAAAACACCCTCCCTCCCCTCCCCTCCCAAAAAAAACTGCAGCTGTCTGGCTTGTCAAAAAGTCTGCCGGAGAACTGGCAAAGTGTATAGCCAGCCAGCCCATGCCGTGCAGCGAGCAGAGCAATGGTTCTCAACCTTCCTAATGCTGGCCACTCTTTAATACAGTTCCTCGTGTTGTTACTTCATAAAGGAGCGGCTGGTCGAAGGGTTATAACGCTGTGCTCTCAAGCGGGAAACCCATGTTCGAATCCGCGGTAAGGCTGGGGATTTTCTCAGTCAAGGTAAAAATAAAATTCTCACCTGCACAGTAGTGGCGACAGCATCAGTCATGCGTCCGTAAATCCATATGCTCAAAGACACCCGCCCCCCTTTTTGTTTTTACACAGCAAAAGTGATATAATAGTGGCAGTTACTTTAAAATCTCAGTGACTATGGGTTTTGCGATGGTCTTAGGCGACCCCCGTGAAGCGCTCGTTCGACCCACAAAAGGATCGCGACCCATAGGCTGAGAACCGCTGGACACTCGCCTGCGGGTCTGAAGGTCGTGGGTTCTAATCAGCGCGGAGCCGGATTTTTTGTTTTGTTTTCAGAGATGACCTTTGCTCACAAGTCGATCCCGTCTCAAACTAGTACCAGGTAAAGTCATGGGAAGTAAAGACTGCCGACATGAGGTTGACCACATCACCTATCCACCCCTGGTCTGTGCAAAAATGAGTCTAGCCTGATATCCCTGATGCGCCACTGGCGTGTAAAGGGACCTTTACTTACTTCCTGACAAATAAGGATGGATCTGCCATCCAACCCAACCCCTTCGCATTTTTCAAATCATTTATGTACTTGGGCTCGATGTTTGCTATTGTTCCTAATGTTAAGCATGTATTTGGGTCTGCTGCGAGTCACTAGCCTCAGTGTCACTGGACGTTAGAAACAGAATCACTGCATGTTATAAACAGCCAGTTTAAACAAATGGATGTGAACCTTGATAAACTCCTTGAGGCCTCGGAGATGTGATTTTACAGAAGAATCATAAGAATTCCTTGGACAGACCGAAAAAAGCAACCGAGCTGTTTCGACGAGGTCAGGGCTAGAAGACATCTTATCATCACAAACATCATTATTGATGATCTTGTTGTCCAAAGTAGGAAACCGAAACATGTGACACAGGAAAGATCCGTGGAAAGACAGACAGAGGAAGATAAAGCGAGAAGATTAACGACAGTCTTTCCCATACCATAAGGGGTATCAGCACAAGAACTAATACATGCTCTTAAACAACGCAGTTGTGGAGAGGCACGTTCGCCACGCCAGTCGGTAAGTTACACAATGATGATTTGTCGGTATTCGTAATGTGGTCAGTACTTTGAGTCCAAAATTTGCCTTTGTCCGTAATGTGACTACTACTGTTGCTGCTGCTCCTTCTCCTATTCTTCTTCCTATTCTTCTTCTTCACGTTCTCTAGACTCCGACTTTGGTCATTATTCGTGATGTGGAGTTTGTAATGGGGGCTCCCTGTTTGTCAGCGTTCGTTGGTAATGTCAGGTCTGTGTAATTAAAGTAAAGAACTTTTTTCTACGCCTTTGGGCGTATTGTGTATTATACAGAACGGTACCTAGTACCTATATTAGACTGGATCGACTTGGTGGGAGCCAAGGTCATATTTTCTTTAAAAGACCGGTTCTGTAAGGACCCGAACCCGCCACTTTCCGACAGGCGGGTGAACTTCTAGTCGCCAGCCCCATTGGTGTGTATGTTTTTGCAATATCTGCCAGGTTTCTCATCGTTAGGCCTGTATTTTGGGTTCCATTTTTTCCATCGTTCGTAACAGGCAGTCGAGTTTTAAGTAATAAACAGGTAAGCAACAATTATAAAATATCAGTGAGGGTTAAACTGCGGTATCTTTTGTTTTTCTTTAAAACAAGTTGGTGACTGAAGAGTTACTGAAGCCTCCAAGAGAACTACAGAACAGTAAGTAACACTGTTAGGCGTAGCCTGTCATAACATGCGAATTACGCGCCTGGTTAGTGATGGCACACACGCGCGCACGCACACATACACAAAGGCTTACTGGTAATTTAAGTACTAAAACGCACCTAATTTTTGATAGTGCTGAAAAAGTACTGCATTCTACTTTCCTATACATTCGATAATCTGACATTCAAGCATCAATACCTCTCAGCTTCGAGTGGATGTACAGGCCAGAATGAGAGTTCAAGTGGACTTCTAGTAATTTCCCCTGGTCTCTGGATAGTAAAGTCGGACACCCGTGCATACTGCTTGCGCACGTTAAAAAAAATAATCATTTGGCAGTTGGAAGTCGAAAAGTGTAGCTTACCGGCGCTGCACGATAAACATTTTGAGTTAAAAATTTACCTAAAGTATCCTCGCCGGTGATGCATCGTTCGTGCGCCACGATGAGATTCTTCGGACTCAGGCTTGAGTTAGACGTAGAACGGGGCACTTATGAGTTACTACCCTTGTGTCATGATGTTGATCTGTTGTATAAACTAAACTACCCCAATAGAGACGTTGCACAGTCATTATTTCTCTCCGGACTGAGAAACCAATTAAGTATTGGAACAATAATTGTTGGAAAGGAGTAAAACTAATAACTAAGATAGCAAGAAAGTGGCAGGCCACGGAGAGAAACTGTATAAGACAGAGTGAGTTAATGTAGCGACTTGTACGACGATAAACCAAAAGCTGCAGAGGAACAATCATATAGACAAGGTCTGGCCTCATAATGGGTTGACGCGTTATCTCTATTGTCCTTTTCAGGATGAAATTTTTTATTTGAAACCCCACCCTGGCTTTTGCTGGGGGCCGCAATATAGGCAGGCCATAAATATGGCCAAATGTCTGAACGCGGTTTCTGGGACCTCTCCACGGCGATCCTCATCCGCAGGGTGGCACTTTGTGTCATTGGGTGTTTATCGCTTGTGTAATGTCCTAGTGGGGTAGAAAGTCAGTCAGTCAGTCAATGAGTTGACGCACAGAAATCAACACCAATTCAAGGGACGCAACTGTTTTATTCCAAAAATACAAACAGTTGACGGGATTATTTGATTTAAAGCTTTGATTTGTGTCTGCAAACTACTTACATGTGTGTGTGTGTGTGTGTGCGCGCGCGCGCGCAAGCGTGCGCGAGCAGGAGTCGGTAATCGCACTGTGTGTGTGCGCGTTAAATGATATGAAGTGTTGTGTGTATGCGCACATGCGTGTCATGTTTCCAACCTGATATCCACAAACTAAACATTGCAAGTACACAAATGGAAATCAATGTGGCATATTGGTTACTGTTCTGTTCTCACCTGTTAACATCAGCATTCATGATTCAATCACCATTAGTGACTCGGTGGAATTTTTTTAATAAATAAATGATTTTTGTAATATATGATCCAAGTAACGCCCATAACTCCCTGAAACTCCTGTAATTCTCAAATTAGTAGGTTGGATTTTTTATTTTTTTACCCAAGTAACGTCAAGGCTACCCAAAACCCCTGTAATTCTAAAATTATAAGGTTGGATTTTTTATTGTTGTTGACCAAAGTAACGTCAAGGCTACCCAAAACCCCTTTAATTCTAAAATTATTAGGTTGGATTTTTTATTTTTGACCCAAGTAACGCCATGGCTACCCGAAACTCCTTTAATTATAAAATCATTAGGTAAGATTTTTCCTATATCACCCAAGCTTTCCTGTGCTTCACGAAACTCCTATAATTCTATAATTACAATGTTCATAAAAATGTCTATGCCCCGATGACTCAAAATAACCAATATAGCTCCCTGAAATATCCCTGCCCCCCTTAAACTCCAGTTTCCGGAGATTCCTATGACACAGTGAAACATATATGGCTTATTTAAATTTGTATGACTCCCAACAAACTCCAGTTCCCTAAAACTTCTGATTTAGTAGAACTGTTCATCTTGAAACTCCTGTGACTCCTTGAGATCTTGTGTGGGTTCCAGGGCCCCATTGGGGTGGAAAACAAGAATAGACCCACTGCCTCCCCAATGAGCACATCGTAAGAGTTGACTAATTGGAGGCTTCCTTTGAAGTTGGAGTGCAATCTGCCTGAGGGGCAAGGAACCCACTAATCTGCATACAAGTAATATTTGTAAAATGGATGTGCATGCAACACTCCGGTTAGATCAAGACTAAATTCCAGAGGTGGACAAACAACGCCAACTTTCTACCAGAGTTTACAGCCAGTGAACGCGAAGAAGAGTCCTTGAGGCACCTACAGCTCCTTGAAATGTCTCTGACTTAATTTTTTAACCTCAAATTCTTGACCTACTTTGAAATGTCTAAGACTCAATTTCCTAAACATTTACCTTCAAACACCTATTGTGACTCCCTTAAAACACTCATGACGCTCTTAAAACACTTGTAACTATCTGATTCGAACTGAAACTTCCGATTCCTTAAAACTGGTAAGACCCTCTACTACTCTATCGACGACGTCAAAAATATCATAAACCTTAACAGATAACAGAAAAGAAGAAGCAACAAATGACAGCAAACTTACTCCAGGTCGTCATGTTTAGCTATGTGCTCTTCTGGAAGAATCAAGTCATCTCCAGGGTCGCTATCCAGCACTGCTGCAATTCTGACCTCAGCTGCTGAATCCACATCAGGGATATACTCTGAAGGTCCTGGTTCTGGAGCAGGAGGAGGTACTCCCAGGTCATCACCACTTCCAATCGGTGGCTTCTTGGGTAGAGGAGGAGGTGGGACTATACGCCGAGGGACAGGTATGGGCTGAGGTGCTACCACAGGCAGTGAGGAGTTTGCTGGTACATTTTGATTTTGTTGCTGCGACATGAACACCTTCTGTGAGATGAGCATGGAGACCGGAGATGTGGCTTCGTGGTAAGGTGGAGGATCTGTGGCCTCGTGATATGACGGTGGTGGAAGGTCGGGTAAAGCTTCCAAATCCAAGGATTCATTTGATGATGATGGAGACCTCAGGGTGACAGATGCAGTGCTTTTCACAGAAGAATGTGGAATGGATGAGGTAAGCGAAGGAACTGATGATGACAACAGAAGTGAATCTGGTATTTCATTAACTTCTAATTCTTCATGTACTCTAGTATTCTCAGCTGGGTGATCCAGACTGCTAGCAACATCGTTGGATGCATGTGATGGTTTTGAAGGGTCAGTCCCATACAAGAACTGCTTTCTGGCTGCAGCCGATTCAGCCTTGCTATGCTGGCGAGAGGAGTCAGCTTCCTTTTTGATCTGGTCTGCTTTTTCTTCTTCTGGTGAACTGATACTGGCAAGATATGTATCTGCTCTTTCTAGAGCAGCTTCTATCTCCTCTTTACTCAACCTTTTCTTTGCTTCCTCCTCACTGCTGACTTGGTCACTGGAAGTTTGCTTCCGCTGTCTCCTCACCACACCTCCAGACAATGAGGCTGGTGATGGTGGAGATGTTGGGGAGGTATTTTTATTTTCTTTGATGTTTGAAGTTTTGGAATGTGATGATGAAAGCCCTGCAGACGAGGCCTGGGTTCGAGCCCGGTAGCCAGGTCGGATGGAATGTCCTAATCTGGAACTGTGAGGAAGTGTTGGTGGTGGAGATGATGATAAAACTGAAGGGGATGATCTATCAACTCTATCCAGATGGTTGTCTGCTTTGTTTGATGTCTGTCTATTCAAGTCAGTCGCTGTACTTTCAACTTTAGTCCTCTCATCTGGTTTTTGTTCCAAGGATTTTAACTCATCCAAATTTTGAAAGTATTTTCCTGAGCGATCACCACTGTCATCTCTCTTGACAGGAGAGCGATTAGGTCTCCTAGAGCGGAGAATCTGATCATCTTTAGATGACCTAGACCGAAGAATCTGATCATCTTTAGATGAGTCCACAAGATTTTGTTTCTCATTCTGCTGGCGCGAAGCACCCTGAGCAGAATAATTACCATTTTGATTATATTTTTTGTCTTCACTTCTGCTTTCCCGTGAACTGCCTGAATCACTCACACGTTTGAAAGACTGTGAAGAAGAAGACATCGGTTCTGAAGGATAATCAATCATTGATTTTGGCCTTCTAGAATCACGTTCTCTGGTGGTCGGCAGTTGTTTTTTATTTTCCTGGCCAAATGAGACAGGAACTGAGGAGAGCTTTGGAGGTGAGTTGCCAGGAAAAGGTCGAGACGGGGAAGGCTTTCTACGGATGATTTTCTCTCTCTCCTGGGCCCTCCTTGTCTCCTCCTCCATCCTAGCAAACATTGCCCTGGTGTAGTTAAACCTCTGCACATGATTTGTGGTCTCCAGCAGTGACGGCTCAGAGCTGGTCAACTGGCCATCTAATTGTATCTCAAGCCCTTGAGAACTGCTAGCTTCATCAGTTTTCCGCCTCCGAGACCCAGAAATGGCATTCAATGTGGAAGTAGGCAGCAAATGAGCAGTGTGCAGACTTGTGGTGGAAGAATGTGTCGGAGACAGAGGTGGCGTCCGTGTGTAGTGTGGTACATGGCCACTTACAGACTTACTGTCTGTCAATGAGTTCTTCAATTTTGAATCCAGAGAATGACTTTGGCCATCTGTCACCTTCATTTTCTTTGTCTCTGGAGATCTGTCCCCACTGTCTTTACTCCTTGAGGAACGTGGCAGAGAATTGCTAGAAAACGATGGATGAACATCACCATGTCCTTTTTCCTCATTTTTCTGAAATTTCTCCTTGATCTTACTGACGCTGGCACCTAAAGGAGGACCAGATGCCTTGGACATATGGCCGCTGATGCCACTGGCAGTATCTTCAAACCGTATCCGCAAGTTGACAAACTGCGAGGAGTTCTTACCAGTGCCGATTGTAACAGGACTTGGAGGTTGGTTACCGACGCCTTCCATGCTGACACTACCACTATGGTGCCGGCTGCCGGCCAGGACCTCAGTTCTTGGATCACACGCCTCTGACTGGGCCATGCAGCTGAAATACATAGCCTGACATTCAGTGGCATTCACTTCATCAATGTTAGCTTGAATAGTAATAACACAAATTGTATTATCCTGATGCCTTAGCTTCCTGGCTTATCAATATAATTATACTACCCAACTAATAACATTACCAACATAATTACAATATCAAACAAATAACATTACCCAACATAATGACATTACTCAACATAATGACATTACTAACATAATAAAATTACAAACATAATGACATAACCAATATATTTACGCTAGTAACCGAAACAACATTTTCATCATAATGGCATTATCAATCTCATATTACCAGTTTTGCAAGCATTCTAACATTGAGTTTAAAATTAACAATTCTCTTCTCATGCTTGTTTTGTTATAACATAAATTCCACATACAGTGTTTTAATGTATTTATTATTACTTTTTTTTAACTGTTTATTTGTTAAATGTTTTCCTATTATTTGAGGTCAGTGTAAGACTATTTCTCCTGATCCCAGTTTGACAGCATTTCTTCTTCTGTGTTGGGGAAGCTGCCATGGTGTAGTGGCTAGACGCTCACCGTGGATCTGAAGGTTGTGGGTTCAAATCTGAACAGAGCGGAATTTTTCATAAAAAAATTACCTTGGCTCCAATGTTGACCCAGCCTTAAATGGGTAACAGCCACAGTCCTAGGAAGTAAAGGCGGCCGGCGTGATGCCTCACTGAGTGTCCACTGGTCTATGAAATACAGGTCTAGCACTACATACCCAGTACACTTGAAAGCGTGGAAACAATTCCTTTTTACCTCTTCTGTGTTTGCCCTTAGGACAGCTGGCACTTTGTGTGTTGTGGTTTACAGCTAAGCCCAACATATCTGTTCTCAGCAAACCTATAATTAGTCACTTTTAACATACTTGTTTGGGAGTGGCAGTCTACTACCCCCACCTACATCTGGCCCCTCTTTTCTGTAAAAATGGGTCAAAGGAATAGACAGGGGGAGTGTTAGATTTAATGCCTAGTCTTCACAGACAGGGTGCAAAATCAGAGGTGGTGTATGAAGATGCACCTGTTAAAGATCTCCATCGCCATCGCGATGTGTCAGTAAACAACAGATGGGGTCTCACAGTTTATTCTTCCAGTTTGTTCAGTCCTGTGCTATTGTTTTAGTATCCTGGATGGAATCAAGTCCTGCCCCTTTGACCTTTGTCATCCACATTCATCTCAAAGTTTTTATTTTAGAGGTCCTCGTTTTATCAATCCTTTTGTTTTCCATTCTGGCCTGTCTGGTGATTCTCTGTTCACTTCTCCCCAGGAAATGCTTGATATTTCACCACCTTCTTTGTCTTATAGTTGTTGATAACAGTGGTTGTACAGGCACTTCCCTTATATATATTAACTCTTTAAGTTCTAGTAGGTTTGGCATCACACGCCCAAGAGGTAGTAAAAAGAGATGCAAAATCGGCACATCAATTGGGCTTCTAGGTTAAAAACCTATGAACGGTTAATGCATTTCTTGGGAGTTAAAGATACTTAACCAGAAAGTTTAAATAGTGAGCTACTACAATGAAAAAATCTGCGGGCAGGCAGTAAAATATTTATTACATGAACATCTCTGATGTGGAAGACCAATGAAAAACCACATGAACTTCTCAAGAGGAAGTTTATGGGCAGCCACAAAGCTTTATTTCAGGGAAGTGCCATTAAAAAAAGCCTGCACATAGGTCTGCAAACAGAATAACCTGATGTTCTGCAGCAGGTTCATGACATAGCCTGCAACCTGTCATCTGTCAACTTGCTGAAATAAAACTCTGTACACTAAGTATGAGAAGTGACTGGCTGAATAGTTAGGGATCCTAGGCACTCCTGCGGGAGACAGGTTTGAATCATCAGTATGGTTATGAATCTTTATCTGTCAAGGACCAAAATTTAATCATAACTTGCACAGTCCGCAGCGAATGCACTAGCCAGGAGATCCTAAATCAGGGTTATGCCAAATCAGAAGTCTAGTCTCCCGTAGGGAAAACAAGAATAGACCCACTGCCTGCCCAAAAGCATGTCGTAAGAGTCGACTAATTGGGAGCTTCCTTTAAAGTCGGAGTGCATCTGCCTGAGAGGCAAGGAACCAGCAGTCTACACTCAAATGTGTAAGATCTGTCAAATGGATGCACACGCAACACTCAAGTTCTGGAACAGGACTGCAGTCCAGAAGTGGACGAACAACCAGAACTTTCCACCAGAGTTTACAGCTGGTGAACGCAAAGAATAAGAAGAAGTCTAGCACGTGGCCCATGGATCAATTGCCAGTTGTACTGTATTATTAATCTGACAATGCTCAGGTCTCTGGTCCGTGACGATCCCCATTAAACAAAACGTTGACTCCTGAGTAAGTTAACTGCCCTGTCCTAAATCCTCAGGCTCAAAGACTTTCCTGTCTGCACCATACAGGTATTCAGTAATGACACTAAACCATTAAACTGTGAAAAGTAAAGGTTGTTTCATAGTTTATATCCTCACAGGGATATTCGGAGACCAGACATTCTTACAGTATAAAGTAATGGTTGTCACATAGTATGGAGCCTGAAAAACAGGGTGGTGAAACTGTTTGCTTCATTCTCTGAAAATCAGTTTCCTTTCAGACTAGTTTCACAAGTAGCTTTTTTTTTCCAGATACCTAAAAGTAGCAGAAAAGGCTACTTTTAGGGATAATGTGCTTTGTGTAAAACCTGCTCCTTTCAGCTGACAAATCAGGCTTCTTTCAGACACTGATCAGTTAAAACTTCTGGGACAAAGATATACCTATGCACCATATTAGATAATAGATTGCACAGAACAGAACAGAATGGAGGAGTAGACTGGCAACCCTGTGTGACATAACTGCATGACAGGATGATAATGATAAAACTTGCTCACAGAACAGAAACACCTGGAGGACAGCCAAATGCTAGGTGTGGATCCACACTAGAGGCAAGTTTTCAACCATTTACCCTTGGCCAGTCAGTTCCTTGGTATGTGAGTCAACCTTGAACTTGGGGGGTTTTTTAAACTAGTGTTGTCCTTTCAAGGAGGAGTGGCTAGAATGCTGGGTTCTCCGGCAGGAAATCAGGGTTCAAACTCCGCACTAGCCATGAGGCCCTAAATCCTCAGGCCCAAAGGCACCCCTGCCTACACCACACAGGTAGGCAGTATTGACATTACACAATTAAATTTTGACAAAAGAAGGTTGAAACTGAAGTTCTGTGCTCTGTTGGGACAAAAATTAACATCCTAACCTAACAGTTTGTGCCTAGTGCACAAGCCATGTTTCATTAAATCTTCATGACCTTACACCAGGGGTTCTCAAACTGGGTGCCATGAATGCATGGGTTTTTTTTTTTTTGCTCAACAAAGGTGCCTAAGCGAGAAAAAAGGTTTGAGAAACACTGCCCTACACACACCCTAAAGTGGTAAATGCAAGCAGTAAAATCAGTTTGCCCTCTTATGTAGGCTGTGCAAGCCCCCAGCCTCCCATTTCATGTACATACTATGTGCATGCTCGCCTACGGTTGGGAAGGTCATAGGTTCAGATCCTGACAGAACCTGACTTTTGTTTTAATGACCTTGGCGTCCAGGTCGACCCAGTCTTAAATGGGTGCCTTGTTCAGTAATGAGAAGTAAAGGTGACTGGAGTGATGTTGACCACGTCACCGACCCAGGGCTGACTGGTATTTAGAATACAGGTCTAGCCCTATATGCCCAATACATCTGAAAGCCTTGGAAAGAGTCCTTTACTTGTTTTACTTACTCAACATGTGCAACCTCAAATATAACACAAGAAGAAAAACACTTAGCCAGTACACCTAGTAAACGTTGACCTACATGTGTCAATCAAACAGATTCTGGTCTCCTACTGATAAGACTAATCCCTGCACTGGGATCTAGGCCCTGGTTGATATCCAAAGTGGCAGGGTTCCATTCTCTCGGTGTTCCTACTACAAAATCCAAACCTCAGATACCTGCAAAGAAACCAAACAGAACATACTGTAAATTATTTATAGATGTATTTAATTTTTTCTTCAATTAATCTGTGAATTAGCTGCTGCTAACATGTTTTGTAACTCCAAGATGCTGGGTTCGATCCAAGTTGTGCCTAATCTGGCAGCAGACAACACTGCGTTAGTTTCAACAGTGCTATCAAGAACCGACCGTTCAGGTGGTAGCGGCAAACGACTAAATGTAAAAATTCTTTGAAAAACCACAACAGTAAAATAATGCTGCTGTGGTTTGGCAACATATAGTAAAGGACACGCAACTAACTTAATTAATCATTTTATTATGGCAATAACGTGCCCTGCTCTTACTGTGGAAGACTTTCCTTGACGCCAGGTGATCTTGCTATTCACCCTCGTCATCACCATTGGCTGCGACTCCCATGCACCATAATACACTATGCACAATAGCATGCAAAAACAATATATCATCCAGAATTATGGAAAGGTGCCAACATTTTTATAATTATTGCTACTGTGATGTCCTTCCTGTCATAGTGTAGTGGTTAGACTCTTGCCTGTCGCTCCAAACTTCTTGTCTGAATCCAAACTCACAGTCACAACAACAATCCCAGGTATAAACAGAAAAGCTGAAGAATGTGACTAAGTACTGCAAACAAAGATCCTTGAAAATGTCAACTTTCACTCAAAATAAAAATTGACACACATATACACCGATGGATCATTGGAGGAGGCAGCAAAAAACAGAGGAGCTGGTTCAGTCATCATGCTGCAAGATGAGATCAGAGTGGAAACATCATATGCCTCCAGAAAACTCCTATCAAACTTCCGAGCAAAACAGCAAGCAATTACTGATGCAACCAAAATGCTTGCGGAAAGCAATATTTAAAATATTACTTTTTAAAAACTGTTTCCCTGTGTGACTGCATGTCATCCGGGCCTCAAAAGGACCACAAGACGACATGGAGAAAGAACTGGCCAGCCAGCTAAACAAACTCAGAAAACAATCACAATTGTTCTCCAGAGATGCTGT